ATCCAACTATCTGGGATGCACCAAGACTGGTTCGAACTCCAGACTCACATATACATGGTCCTAAAGTGATCAGAAAGGTGCCTTACTTTTTGCTGTATTATAAATCCATAAAAACTGATTTCTAGTGAAGATCGCCTCAGCTGAGAAAGAGGGTAAATGGTGAAGAAGATGAAATCGCGTCTTTCATTCAGACAGAAGACATGTTTTATTGTCGATGGTAGAGACAGCACGAACAACACGAACACAGAATGCAAGTGTATTATACAGAGCGGAGGCATGGAGACCTCCAAACAGCAGCTTCCACGGTGCCATGTAGCTTGGCCTTCAGATAGACAAAACATGAAGTGGAAAAGTACAGGCTTCTGCACATTGATAGAATGATGAGTTTAACTTTAACAAAAGTTGCTTAAAAGTGTTATGAAATCTCACATTCCCCCCTCTGGTCACACATTCCCGTGTGACCATCAGGATCGATAAACAGCAACATAACATCATAACTCAATACTTCAACTCGGTACTTCACTCGGTACTTCAAAAAACTCAGAACTCGGAATACTTCAAAAACTCAGAAAACTCATAAAACATGTTCAGATCTTTCATAAAACTTGTCAACAATCTTCAGTAAAATACCAAACTTCATCAGTCGATGGTTCCAGATATTGCTTTGAAAACAGTCTCTCCCACTTCTCCGTGTTGGTTTCTTCAGGCTGCATTTGTTGTGTCGAGCCATGAATTCTTCTGTGACGTGTTATTTCAATCACACGTTTCAGCTTCAGTGTCCAGATTCAGAAATCCAATTCAGTCCAAATTATGTCCAAATTCAGAAGCCAACATGGACAGCACGAAAAGAAGAACCGTGACGTCGCCCGGCATGGCGCAGCCGGGGCCCCACCCTGGAGCCAGGCCTGGGGTTGGGGCTCGAATGCGAGCGCCTGGTGGCCGGGCCTTAGCCCACGGGGCCCGGCCGGGCTCAGCCCGAAAGGACGACGTGGGCAGTCCCTCCTGTGGGCCCACCACCCGCAGAGGGGTCCGTGGCGGCTCGGTGCAGAGAGGACTGGGCAGCAGTCGAAGGCGGAGACCTCGGCGACCCAGTCCGCACACCCAACATCTGGCTCTTGGGACGTGGAACGTCACCTCACTGGGGGGGAAGGAGCCCGAGCTTGTGGGGGAGGTCGAGAGGTACCGACTAGAGATAGTCGGTCTCACCTCCACACACAGCTTGGGCTCTGGAACCCAACTCCTTGAGAGGGGTTGGACGCTCCACTTTTCTGGTGTTTCTCGCGGGGAGAGGCGGCGAGCTGGGGTGGCCATACTCATTGCCCCCCATCTCAGCCGCCACGTGTTGGAGTTCTCCCCGGTGAATGAGAGGGTCGCGTCCCTCCGCCTTCGGGTGGGGGACAAGTCTCTCACTGTTGTGACGGCCTACGGGCCTAACAGCAGTGCAGAGTACTCGGCCTTCTTGGAGTCCTTGGGAGGGGTAATGGACGGTGCACCGCCCGGGGACTCCGTCATTCTCCTGGGGGACTTTAACGCCCATGTGGGAAGCGCCAGTGACACTTGGAGAGGGGTGATCGGGAAGAATGGCCCCCCTGATCTGAACCCGAGTGGTGTTCAGTTGTTGGACTTCTGTGCTAGTCACGGTTTGTCCATCACGAACACCATGTTTGAGCACAAGGGTGTCCACCAGTGCATGTGGCACCAGGACACCCTAGGCCGGAGGTCGATGATCGACTTTGTTGTCGTATCATCTGACCTTCGGCCGCGTGTTTCGGACACTCGGGTAAAGAGAGGGGGGGAGCTGTCAACCGATCACCACCTGGTCGTGAGTTGGATCCGCTGGCAGGGGAAGAAGCCGGTCAGACCTGGCAGACCCAAGCGTGTAGTGAGGGTCTGCTGGGAACGTCTCGCTGAGCCCCCTGTCAGACGGACTTTCAACTCACACCTCCGGGAGAGCTTCTCCCAGGTCCCGGCGGAGGAGGGGGATATTGAGTCTGAGTGGACCATGTTCTCTTCCTCTATCGCCGATGCGGCGGCTCGTAGCTGTGGTCGCAAGGTCTCTGGTGCTGGTCCCGGCGGCAACCCCCGAACCCGGTGGTGGACACCGGCAGTAAGGGATGCCGTCAGGCTGAAGAAGGAGTCCTATCGAGCCATGATGGTTCGGGGGACTCCTGAGGCAGCTGTCCAGTACCGGCAGGCCAAGCGTGCCGCGCGGCCCGGGCTGTTGCAGAGGCAAAAACCCGGGACTGGGAGGAATTCGGAGAGTCCATGGAGCATGACTATCGGTCGGCCTCGAAGAGATTCTGGCAAACTGTCCGGCGCCTCAGGAGAGGGAAGCAGTTCTTTGCCAACACCGTGTACGGTGCGGGGGGTGAGCTGCTGACCTCGACCGGGGATATTGTCGGACGGTGGAAGGAATACTTTGAGGTTCTCCTCAATCCCCCCGTCACGTCCTCCGCTCCGGAGGCAGAGACTGAGGATGTTGGGGCGGATACATCCATCTCCCTGGCAGAGGTCACCAAGGTGGTTGGCAGCCTCCTTGGTGGCAAGGCGCCGGGAGTGGATGAGATCCGTCCTGACTATCTAAAGTCTCTGGATGTTGTAGGACTGTCTTGGCTGACACGTCTCTGCAACATCGCGTGGCGATCGGGGGCGGTGCCAAAGGAGTGGCAGACCGGGGTGGTGGTCCCTATCTACAAGAAGGGGGACCGGAGGGTGTGTTCCAATTATCGTGGGATCACACTCCTCAGCCTCCCTGGTAAGGTTTACTCCAAGGTACTGGAGAGGAGGTTACGGCCGATGGTCGAATCTCGGATTCAGGAGGAGCAGTGTGGTTTTCGTCCCGGCCGTGGAACACTGGACCAGCTCTACACTCTCCATCGGATACTCGAGGGTTCATGGGAGTTTGCCCAACCTGTCCACATGTGCTTTGTGGATTTGGAGAAGGCGTTCGACCGTGTTCCCCGGGGTGTCCTTTGGGGGGTCCTCCGTGAGTACGGGGTCCGGGGTCCTCTGCTGAGGGCCGTCCGGTCCCTGTATGACCGGAGCCAGAGCTGCGTGCGCATTGCCGGCAGTAAGTCAGACCTGTTCCCGGTGCATGTTGGCCTCCGCCAGGGCTGCCCTTTGTCACCGGTTCTGTTCACTGTATTCATGGACAGAATTTCTAGGCGCAGCCAAGGGTCGGAGGGGGTCCGGTTCGGGGACCACAGGATTTCATCTCTGCTGTTTGCAGACGATGTTGTCCTGTTGGCTCCAACAAACCAGGACCTACAACATGCACTGGGACGGTTTGCAGCCGAGTGTGAAGCGGCTGGGATGAGAATCAGCACCTCCAAATCTGAGGCCATGGTGCTCGACCGGAAAAAGGTGCCTTGCCCTCTCCGGGTGGGTGGAGAGGCCCTTCCTCAAGTGGAGGAGTTCAAGTATCTCGGGGTCTTGTTCACGAGTGAGGGAAGGATGGAGCGTGAGATTGACAGGCGGATCGGTGCAGCGTGCGCAGTGATGCGGTCGCTGTATCGGACCGTTGTGGTAAAGAGGGAGCTGAGCCGAAAGGCAAAGCTCTCAATTTACCGGTCAATCTTCGTCCCCTCCCTCACCTATGGTCATGAGCTTTGGGTAATGACCGAAAGAACAAGATCGCGGATACAAGCGGTCGAAATGAGCTTCCTCCGCAGAGTGGCTGGGCGCTCCCTTAGAGATAGGGTGAGGAGCTCAGTCACACGGGAGGAGCTCGGAGTAGAACCGCTGCTACTCCACGTCGAGAGGAACCAGTTGAGGTGGCTCGGGCATCTGTTCCGGATGCCTCCTGGACGCCTCCCTGGGGAGGTGTTCCGGGCACGTCCCACCGGGAGGAGGCCCGGACACGCTGGAGGGACTATGTCTCTCAGCTGGCCTGGGAACGCCTTGGAGTCCCCCCGGACGAGCTGGAGGAGGTGTGTGTGGATAGGGAAGTCTGGGCGTCTCTGCTTAGACTGCTGCCCTCGCGACCCGGCAACGGATGAAGCGGAAGAAAATGGATGGATGGATGGGCTTATAAAAAACACTTTTTGTGTAAAAAAAAGTAGTCTTCTGTTCTCTAGATGTTACAGACAAGGCCCGCATCCTTCCACCACCTGAAGAAGATGTGCCAAGTCTGGGATCGTGTCTTAATTCAGACAGAAGACATGTTTTATTGTTGATGGTAGAGACAGCACGAACAACACGAACACAGAATGCAAGTGTATTATACAGAGCGGAGGCATGGAGACCTCCAATCAGCAGCTTCCACGGTGCCATGTAGCTTGGCCTTCAGATAGACAAAACATGAAGTGGAAAAGTACAGGCTTCTGCACATTGATAGAATGATGAGTTTAACTTTAACAAAAGTTGCTTAAAAGTGTTATGAAATCTCACAATGGCTTATTATACCGTCAAAGAGATGAATTTGTCATACACCATCGATGCCATATTTTATATTTACCATGGAAAATGTAGGTGGACTTTAGAGTTTATCTGTGAAGATTGTACCCACTTACAATTGGAGTAAACACTTCATACGAGGCCAGAACTGCAGGGCCTCAGCTTCACTAGTCCTGCCATTGGCCTTTGGGTTCTCAGACAGATTCAGTTAAAATTGTTACTGAAATTTGGTGTAACAACAAAATCATGCATTATTTAGTTCTCTCTTCACAGTTGTATTTTTGGTGTCGTGCATGATTATGTTTGTAAACAGCCAAAATGTGCTTATGTGCCACTGAAGACAGTAAATAAATAAAATAAGTTTGTAGTAAACGCCATGCACTTGTGGGCGTTTCTGTTGTGGGCGTGTCCACGGAGTAAGCGAGTCTGTGATTGGTCCTTGGCGGCAGTGGGAGGACGTGCAGGGGAAGAGAAGCAGCACGTCCCTGAGCTTCGGTCCTTTCTGCACAAATGTTTCAGTGAACAAGCTGATCCACGTGCATTCCCCAGACCTACTGTAACTTCTGCTTAAATATTTACACTGACTCCACATACACAACGACATCATGGTGAAACTAGCAAAGGTAAGATTGTTTTTCTTCTTTATTTCTCATTTTTAGTTTATTTTTTTTCATATAAAGGCGTGGGTACTGGTTGATAAGGAGGCCATTTTTTATGTATCACTGCAGTCATATACAATTACCTTTTGCAACGTTATAAGACTATGTATACTTTTTGGAAATGGCTGTTTAGATTCTGTCGTCCTGTGAGAGCAGCAGTGTGGTCGCAGGGTCCGTGGAAGTGCGTGTTTGCAGCAGCCATGTTTGTTCTCTGCGGCCTCCTGCTTTACGCTTCAAAATGGCCCGCGTTGCTCTTTTACACGTCCTCGTCTGAACACTCTAGTTTAAAGTTTACCTGTGTGCATTTGCAGTAAATGTGTTAGTATCTATTTGGTGGTTATTACATGATAATGCTGTCGTGGTGCGCGTGAATAAACGTGGCCACGACATGTGCTAGCATGATAGCATTAGCTAACAACACATGTAGCTAGTGCTGCTCAGTCTTAAGGGATTATGTTTTACTCTTAAGCATCAGGTGATGTTGTATTCAAGGTGTCTCTATAGAAGCTCACACTCAAACTAGTAATTAAAGCCAAACGTATGTGATTAGTTTGTCAATTCCCTTAAAGTTGCGCTTATTAGCATTATGCTAGCAGGGGACTTTTGGAGCCCCACGTGGGGTCTGTGTGTGACCCACGAGGGCGAGCACGTTACCCCCCAACCACTCAATGTTTCATTAGTTCGTACAAATGTACTATTAAACTGTTACACATAACATTTCTTACATTTTTATGATTTCCAGGCAGCAAATAAACAATCTACGGGCAAGAAAAAGGCCCCACCACCACCAAAGGAAGTGGAGGAGTCCAGTGAGGAAGACAGCAGTGAAGAGGAAGAGGTAAATCCATGTTCCAACGATGGGCTTTATTTATTTAAACTTTTCTAGTTTTAAATTAAATGTATATTCTGTAAATTTCAGGCTCCTCCACCAAAGGTCAAGAAAGTGAAGGCTGCTCCAGTGAAGGCGGCCAAGGCAACTCCAGCTAAGAATGGCAAAGCTGCTAAAAAAGAAGAAAGCAGTGAGGAGGAGGAATCTGGTAAAGGCCATAAATGCAAATGTATAATTTGAATCACATTTCTTGTCTAGTGACTGAACACCTAACTTACCTAATGTCTATCATTTAGACTCTGAAGAAGAAGCTCCGCCACCAAAAGTAACACCTAAAGCTGCCGCCAAAGCTAAGGCTGCACCAGCAAAGGCTGAAGAGTCTGACGAGGACGACGATGATGGTATGACCTTGTTTTAACACTGTTAATTTAGTTTTGATTCTGCCCTGTTCGGGCATGGACCCTCCATTTCTTGGCATGCGTGTAGTTTTCAGTCTACATGCGTGTAATGTACGGAGGAAAAGAAAATGCAGTGCTATGTCTTCGGTGCTGGTGTGTTGAAAGTCTACCAGTTCTATCCTCAATCGCTGCGACAGAATGTTTAAAGTTAAAACTATAATTATCTGTTTACTTAAAAGAAACTTTACATTGATTTTTATGTTTGTAGATGAATCTGATGAGGAGCCTCCCCCTCCTAAAAAGACCCCCTCCAAACCTGCAGCTAAACCTGCAGCTAAAGCAAAGGCAGAAGAATCATCTGAAGATGATGATTCTGAAGAGGAGGCCCCGCCCCCAAAACCTGCAGCTAAAGCGAAGTCTCCAGCAGCGAAAGCAAAGGCGCCTCCAGCAAAAGAATCGTCAGAGGAAGATGATGACGAAGGTGAGTCACAAACTTGACTTTCAGAAAGTTGGAGATATTTAACTTTACATTTTTCAGAGTCTGAAGAAGAAATGGACACGACCCCAGCTCCTGCCAAAGCAAAGAAGGCCGGGATGGTGAAGGCCAAGGAGGAGTCGGAGGGCGACGATGATGAAGAGGATGATGATGATGAGGAGGACGACGATGATGATGAGGAAGATGGTATGAGGCCCTGCTCATAAGTGTCATTTTTCTTACTGTGTTTTTTTAAATGTTTTTTAACTTCTAACTCTTTCTATAGCCCCAGTGACTCCTGCAAAGAGGAAGGCTGATGCCAAGAAGGAAACTCCACCGGCCAAGAAAGCAAAAACAGAAGGCGAAGGTACAGGACTGACTTTTATTTATTTATTTATTTATTTATTTATTTTTACTTCACATAAAATGATAAACTAATAATGATGATCACAAGGGACTTAATACTGATAAATGATGTCACCTTTTTCACTTCTGAATTGGAGTAACAGGTGTGGTCTTCATAAACTGTCAATGCAGAATATCTAAAGTTGTGTTTCATCTCCAGGTTTTTGTTTATATATTGGAAACCTGAATTCAAATAAAGACTTTGATGAAATTAAGGCGGCGCTGAAAAAATTCTTCACCAAAAACGAGTTGGAAGTTGCTGACGTGCGGTTAGGAGGATCAAAGTAAGAATTTACATTTAATTTAACTTTCTAAATTGTATGTGGGTGATAATGATGGTTCTTTTGTATGTAATTTTTTAGGAAATTTGGCTATGTGGATTTTTCATCTGAAGAGGATCTACAGAAGGCCTTAGAACTAAACGGCAAAAAGTTTATGGGACAAGAAATAAAACTAGACCGAGCACGGAGTAAAGAGAACTCTCAGGAAGGAAGAAAAGGTACAGGACAAAAGCAAAGGCTTATTACTAAACATTTTTAATTTTACATTGGGTTTTTTGTTTTCCAGAACGAGACTCTCGCACTTTATTTGTGAAGAACCTTTCCTTCTCGGTCACTGTTGAAGAAGTGAAGGAAGTGTTTGAAGATGCTGTAGACGTCCGGCTGCCGCTTGGACAGAATGGCTCCAACCGAGGGTAAGTCAGACATGTACACTATCTACAGAGCTGGAATGACTTAAGTTTTCTTCCCGACAGCATCGCATACATAGAGTTTAAGTCCGAAGCAGAGGCTGATAAGATGTTGGAGCAGGCCCAGGGAACTGAGATCCAAGGCAGATCCATCATCCTGGATTATGTTGGAGACAAAAGCCAGAAAGGAGGCAGAATGGGAGGTAGTTGTCACGTTTGTTTGCAGAATGTGTCGACAGTAGTTTGGGAGTAACATTTATACATTTCCTGTAGGAGGCGCTTCAGTGACTGCATCCAAAACTCTGGTGGTCAACAACCTGGCCTTCACTGCGTCAGAGGAAACCCTACAGTCTGCATTTGAAAAAGCGGTCTCTATAAGAATTCCTCAAAATAACGGCAGGTCTAAAGGGTGAGTGCGTTAATGTTTTCTCTCTATTTTTGCAATCCTTCTCATGAGCTCCTCTTAATCCTCCAATGATTTTGTTTGGATTCGCACGAGAAGAAGAGTCAAAGCGCAGTTAAACCGGTGTCATTCTTGTGGATGATTCCTATGTCTGATGTGCGACAACGTCTGAACAAATGCAATAACACGACACTGGAGGGAGCTTTTCTAAATGTCCATGTTTTTCAGGTTTGCGTTCATCGAATTTGAAAACGCTGATGACGCCAAAGACGCTTTTGAAAACCTAAACAACACAGACATTGAAGGGCGATCCATTCGTCTTGAGTACAGCCAGGGCAGGAACGATGGCGGCAGGGGGGCTTCTGGTCAGTATACAGAAGATGAATGTGTCCCGATCTGGACTGAAATCTCACTTAACCCTCTATGCACATGGGTCATTTTGGGGAACTTTCCTCGCCTGGTTTTCTTTGTGTATAATTGCATCAAAAGATTACTGTTTTATGAACAGTCAAGCAGTATACTTTGTTTTTTTTCAGTACAACCTGGGGTTTTAGAATATTCATATTATAATGCTGTCATATGAATTATATAAAAAAATATGGAATCATTAAGACAAAGAAAAAAATCAACGGAAAATCAATGTAACAAATGTGTTGAAAAAACACAATGAAATGCTACAAACAACTTTTTACACTGCATAGAAATGTTATTTGGGGACTTGGGATAATGGGGAAAAAAATTGAAATCTAACTATTATACTTTTTACAAAATATATTCCTGATGCCCTTCCTGAAGCAGTTTGTCTATAATGCTGGGGTTGCTTCTGTAGTACAGCTGTAAAACATAAGAAACTGAGCCAAAAAAAACATCCATTATTTATATACATCATATACACATAATGTCATTTTACTGTATTATCGTCTTTATCAATAATGAGCACTCTTCAGCCGGTTATTGCAATCGCAGCTGTAGTTTCAACTGTGGGAGAACAAGTACAGACAGGAGTGAGACATCTCACTCTCTGACGATCTTTGGCAGTCCCCGTGTGTTTGTATCTCACAGCTGTTTGTACCTCACGGGTCACGCTTTGGACACAGACATTCAGACAAGCGTAGTTTATCCTCCGTGCATCGCACAGACAAATCAAAACTAGTTTCGGAAAGCCCTGAATATGTACTTCACAGAGGAAAAAAAAGTAAGTTGCTACGGTTTACCGTTCGCGAGTAAATTGATTATTTGTAAAACATGTGCGCATGCATCGGCGCCGATGCAGACGGGTTCATAGGGTTAAACTAAAAATTATATTAATCTTGAGAAAAAAAATTTCCCCCTCAGGCCCGACAAAGACCTTGTTTATTAAGGGTCTTTCTGAAGACACCACGGACCAGACGCTGCGGGAGGCGTTCGAGAGCGCAGTGGGAGCCAGGATTGTTACTGACCGAGACACTGGAGCTTCCAAATGGTGGGTTTTTAATTACTGCTAGTGACGGTTGTTATGAGCCGTAAACATTATGAACAAATAAAGGGAATTCGATTATTTTGTAGCACATTCAAGACATTTAGTTTTGTGATGGTTTGCTTTTAAATGTCTTACTGCCTCGTGTCCAGTTCTTACAAATAGTTTACTCTTTAGTTTCGGGTTCGTGGACTTCGACAGTGAGAGCGACTGCAAAGCTGCGAAGGAGGCCATGGATGATGGAGAGATTGACGGGAGCAAAGTGACTCTTGACTACGCCAAGCCAAAGGGAGAAGGTGGATTCCGTGGTGGTCGAGGGGGAGGAGGATTCGGAGGTCGTGGGGGTGGAAGAGGAGGGTTTGGAGGTGGATTCGGAGGCCGTGGTGGTGGAGGAAGAGGAGGCAGAGGTGGCTTTGGAGGCCGTGGAGGAGGAGGCAGAGGTGGAAGAGGAGGATTTGGAGGTACGTCTTGATAATGGGAGGATTATTAATGTCTGTATTTCCATAGATAACTCTGCCTCTGTTTCTCCTCAGGTGGAAGAGGTGGTGGTTTTGGAAAACCACAAGGGAAAAAGATCAAGTTTGATGACTAATCTTTTGTCTTTTACTTTGAATGGACTCTGGTTTCATCATTTTCAGAGCTTATGGACATTCCAGAAAGCAACAAATGTTATTTAACTTTTAATGGGCATTTTAGGCCCATATTGTGCCCCACTTCATCCTCCTTGCGCTGTGCCGTTATGGTACTGTCCTGTACTCTACTCGAGTACTGAATGTCCCGGCAGAGAACCTGCTCCTTGACTCTCCAAGGATGAAATGTATAGACTGCTTGAAAGGGTTTTTGTGAAAGAATCTTGTCCACTTCATGTAAAAAATGTTTATTTTTATTTTTTGTAAATGATACCTGTGTATCCATATTCTTTTTTCTTGTCTTTAGTTCTGCTTTAGGTGTCAAGTTTTACTTGTACTGTGTAAAGCATATTTTGATAAATATTTGAGGCTGTGTGCTAAATGAGTATTGTTCATTGTGTGATGTGCGATTCCATCTCTTTAGATGGGATGTTGAGTCAGGAAGTATTTCCATAATATTTGTAGTGCATCAACTAATTACTCTTAATGAATAAATCCCAATGGGTGATTTTTAGATTTTGTGTTGTCTCTTCAGTATGATTTAGATTAGATGTTTATTGTTCTCACCTGGAGAGCCTTAGACTGGTTAATTCATTCCCTATACATTTTATTAAATAAGATTTTCTACGTATTTTGTTCACTTCAGAACCAAATATAACATTTCCTCAACTGTCACTAGATGGCAGCATGGAGTTTCAATTCTGTAGTCTTAGATTTCCTGGGGACTTAGCACCTTAAATGCATAATTTGAAGCTGTGCCTCTGGCCCTTGAGTAATTCTCTGCACAACATTTATATATAGAACATTTCAAAATGTTTAAAGTTTATACATGGTCTTGATTCTGTTGTAAAAAGGTCTCATGTGACTAATGGTTCACTTATAGCAGTAATTTGTTTAAACTTCCATGTTGAAATGGATTGCATTACTGCCTGAAGACCATGACACTCACAGCAATCAGTCTTTGGTAAAATACAAGTTAGAACCAGGAATTGCTCATATTTACGGAAGCTTGTTAGGTTCACTTGTGAGTGTTTTTTCCCCGCTGGTATCATGTTATTTCATGATACTTTCATGAAATAACATGATAAATATGTTATTTCATGATACACAACTACCTTGTTATTTCATGATACACAACTATCATGTTATTTCATGATACACAACTATCATGTTATTTCATGATACCAATTTATCATGTTATTTCATGATACCAGTTTATCATGAAATAACATGATACTGTAGATACAGAAGAAGAAGAAGCTGTCAGCTTCTGCTAAATAGGTATCATGAAATAACATGATAGTTGTGTATCATGAAATAACAAGGTAGTTGTGTATCATGTTATTTCATGAAAGTATCATGAAATAACATGATAAATTGGTATGATGAAATAACATGATAAATTGGTATCATGAAATAACAAGGTAGTTGTGTATCATGAAATAACATGATAGTTGCGTATCATGAAATAACATGATAAATTGGTATCATGAAATAACAAGGTAGTTGTGTATCATGAAATAACATGATAGTTGCGTATCATGAAATAACATGATAAATTGGTATCATGAAATAACAAGGTAGTTGTGTATCATGAAATAACATGATAGTTGTGTATCATGAAATAACATGATAAATTGGTATCATGAAATAACAAGGTAGTTGTGTATCATGAAATAACATGATAGTTGCGTATCATGAAAAAACATGATATTTATCATGTTATTTCATGAAAGTATCATGAAATAACATGATACCAGCGGAAAAAAAACACACTCACAAGTGAACCTAACAAGCTTCCGTACATATTCACTGTTAGGTTTGTGTTCATTGAATTAGAGAACTGACTTCTGGGTAATCTTCCAGGTACATATCTGTCATATATCATCTTCCAGCTCACTGCATACATCAGTGACCGTGGTCTCGTTGGTACTAATGCAGATAAATGCAAACTCTGAATCCTCTTCACAAAGGATCTTTGTGAGGACCTGGTGTCCTGTGGCACACTATGTTCTCAGTTGCTTCACTCGTGCCCTTTATTCAATGCTATAAACCCAGAGCAGGACTAACATAGAGCTGTTGAACACCATTTGGACAAAAACCATTAAAGTTATATGTCCTTGCATCCAATTTTTGACAAAGCACTGGTGAAATTGTTTCAGGAAGCACTCTTCCTGAAACAATCAAGGCTGTTCTCACTTGTTACCTTCTATGTAAACACACTGAATTCTAAACATACAAACACAAAATATAAATGTTCACTGAAATGTCCCCACTGTAGGATGAATGAATAAACTCTTAACTTCATATATAGTTTTAATTAAGTTAGTTTTAGTTAAGTATATAGTCTATGTAAGTTTTATTCATATGTATTACTGTGACTCTCTGAACACACATGTTTTATATTACAGCATAAAAATGAAATGTCCTAAAATCCCTCGGTCTCGTCCTGGTCTCTTCGCAGGTGAAGGAATGCTCTCTTTGCGGTCGTTGGAGCCTTTTGAAGAAAATGGAGGGTTAGTGTGAAACCCTGAAGCTCCTTCTGCCGACCCTCGGACCATACTCACATCAAACGCCACAATTAGTGTCGACAAATGTGGGGTTCTGTTTAGACAATCCTCCAAAGCAGAGAGTTGGTTAGTTCTGGTTATGCTTTTCATTCAAAGAGTTGGGACGCCTCAAATCTCAAAAGTTACTGAAGAGACTTATAGGTATAAAGGAGGATTTTCCCTAAGTTTAGGAGAGAACCGCCCGCTCTACTTTTGAACCAAACTCTCCAGTCTTATTGGACGAGCACGTATCACCAGAATGATTGACAGTTGAGAGGACCAATAGTTTAGAAGATCCACCCAGAAGTAGAAAATCCACCTATATATGTTTAAAGGTGCACTGTAGTTTTTATTCCCATCTAGCATTGAGATCATATATTATAATCTACGGTACTATGTTAGCTTTGCAGGACAATATGAGGTCTTTGACAGTGGTCCCTTAACCTTGCCTGCAAGCTGAATTCTCGCGGTATTTGTGAGTTCACAAACACTCGAGAATACATCTTGTACCGCTCCCGCTTACACTTTTCGAGTCGAACCACTGGGTGTGCGAGCCAATCACGCGCCAGTCTGGGGGTTTAGGGCGGGATATCCGGGTTTGACGAAAGCAAGAAGTGCCGGGCCGAAGCAAAACAAACATGGCTACGCAGGAGGACGGACGCGTAGCTGAGGCTATCAAGTCAGTTTTAGCAGAATCTCCAATTTCTTTTTTGAAAGATGAACAGCGAGAGGCGCTTTGTACATTTCTGGACGGCAACCTTGGTAGGCGGGCACACAGCGTCACTTCGCCCAATCAGCTTGAAGCATTCTGCTGCTTATCCCTCCTTTCCCCGAAAGGATTCTCCGGGAGAAATCCCAGATTGATATCGTGGAGAACGCGTTAGAGTTCTACACAATCATCAATCTGGCTCTTGCCAGGTTAGTGGTCCCTAACTCCTGCTCAAATTCCTTTTTGTCCCTTATCAGCCACTGTATTTCAAGATGGAGGATTCACACAGACAGTCCTCAGCCTCATGGACATTTATAAATGCTAAGTCTATGACAATTGCTGATTATTACTATTGTTAGCTTTTTAGAATGATCAATTTTTTTATTTTTTTTATTTTTGCTGCTACTGGACACCTGAATTTCTCCTACAGGGATCAATAAAGTATCTATCTATCTATCTATCAACAATTAAAAAACATGATGGAGGTGAATATTCTTTAAAAGGTCGCATTTGTTGGGTTAGGGTTTTTTTCATTTGTAGAAACTGTAAAAATTACACAGAGTGGCTTTAAAGGTATTTTCCCAAATGTTAGGAAAGAACCGCCTTCTCCACTTTGTGAACCAAACTCTCTGGTCTTATTACACGTATCAGCAGAATGATTGACAGTTGGGAGGACCAAAAGTCTTGATGATCCATGCAGAAGTAGAAAATACTCCTAAATATCTTTAGTCTATTCCAAACTAACATAGACTGCTGCTTTCAAGGCCACAGATAAAAGTGTTGGTAAAGAAATGGGATGTATATCAAAACAGTTACAATTCTCCTTAAGATAAAACACATTTTGATTTTGAAGTTGTTCATTTCCATCACAAAACATTTAATGATGGCGGAGAACTTTGACACCATTTAACTGTTTTGTTTCCTACCGTAGTTTGGTACAAAAGTTGTGTATAAAGATTTCAAACCATCCTCTGTCTCGTCCATTCAGAAACATAAAAAAACAACTATCCAATTTCTTTGTGGTTTTTATCTGACTTAGTCCCAGAAGAAAAACGTGGGAAGAAACAACAGAAAAGGAGCCTCTTTTGTTGTGATGCTGCTTTGTTTTGTCCATTCAACTTAAGATAATAAACAATCTCCCTTTTGTTCCCAGTGTGGCTCTATCTGCCCCATCGCTGGAGCAACACACATGAAGACACCACAACAACATGTGAGTCCAGTTTATGAGGCAAAATGTATCGTTACAACTAATTCAAGTGAAATTTCCTCTCTTACATTTTGAACCTGGTGCATGATTATTTTCACCGACATGTGCAAAGACATGCACAGAGAATGTACAATCACATATTTAACTTTTCAAAATGCACACTTTCTAAAGTAAGTAACGTTTATTCATGTAGCGCATTTTACAGACCAAGGTCACCCAAAGCTCTTTACAATGATATTATTCCTATTACTCCACACAGGGGGATGACAGAAGCAAGTCGCTGACTTGCTTCAACGCAGACACAGGGAGAACATGCAAACTCCACTAAGAAAGGCCCTCTTACGACCAGGATTCGAAAGTGGGACCCTCTTGCTAAGATGTGAATGTGCTAACCTCTGGTCTTCTCTGTCTGCTCTGTTTGTGGTCCTTCTCTGGTTCTTCCTCCTGGTCCTGCTCTGTTTGTGTTCCTTCTTGGTCTTCATCCTGGTTGCTCTGTTT